AACAAACAACTGCCCGCTCCGTCGAACGGGCTTTTCAGAGCCGGAAGGGCAGCGGTCTTTCCCAGCTTGATACACAAACCGCCTTGCGCTTCAAAAAGCTCCCTGAAATTGAGCCATCGTCATCCACGTCTTCCAGCCCTCCAACTCCGCCTCTCCCCCGTTCGCCCATGCCCATGATGCCCTCCACTACTTCATCATCGCGCCCCGCGCCGCTGAAACTGTCGCCTCAACACCATCTGAGCGTAGATGACTCCTCTCCTTCCCCTCCTCCTTCTTCGATAGGCTTCCGCCGCCCTGTCCCACCTCGTCGCCCGAGTGTGCCTCGCCTAAAAGGGCTGGACACACGCTCCGCAGAGCGCCTCAACCCAACCTCCCAAAACTCTCCGTGCGAACTAGGCCAATGCGTTCAGCGACACTTGGCCCGCCCTCACTCTCCATCAATGTCGGGCCGCCGCAATCTCCTTCTCATCTACACTGATGTACTCGAATCATCCCCACCCTTGTCGGCGCGGATGTACCCCAATAACAACCCATTTTCACCTACGCATGATCCCGCAAATTATCTAACGCCCTATACACTCCACCACATACCCCGGTACGCCTCGCCATTCTACCTCCATCGCCCTCTACCGCCCGGCCAGACCTGGACCCACCGACAACAGAGGATGCCTTCCCTATGTTCGCGGTGTCGACGATCCTACCGAACTTCTTGTTCCTCGGGCCTGAGCTGACGAATCCGGAGCATGTGGAGAAGCTACGAGCGCTGGGCATCAAACGGATATTGAACATCGCGGCAGAGTGTGATGACGACCATGGGTTGGGCTTGAAGGAGGTATTCAAATATTATAAAATACCTATGAGGGATACAGTGGAAGAGGAGAATATAACAAGAGGTGTTAGGGAGGCGTGTGATTTATCGGTGAGTTGTTTGATCCTGTATATACGTGAACTAATGCTGAATATGTACTTTCGAATTACATGAATCATTTATACTAGACGACGCCGCTTGCATTCCGCACCTACATACGTGCACTGCAAAGCCGGGAAATCACGCTCGGTGACGGCGGTCATGGCGTATCTCATCCACGCAAACCACTGGACCTTTCACAAGCATACGCCTTTGTCCTTGAACGCCGCAAAGGCATCTCTCCAACATCGGATTCGTGTCTGAGCTCATGAACTTCGAGGAACAAGAGCTCGGTGGCAAGTCTGTCGGCGTGCAGGCCCCCAACTCCGCTGCATCCAACGCCGCTCTTTCTTCGTCCCATTCGTCCCATTCAACCCTGCCATCAGGCGCGGTCTCTGCGGACGCGCATGCCCCATCGCACGGCCACACACACACGGTCGCGACGGTGCAGGAGGCGTACACGATGGCGTCGGGCGGGCGCCGCGGGGCGACGCATGTGCGCGAAAGCCTGCCGCCGGTGGGCACGGAGGGCATCACGCACGGCGGGCCGCTGTCGGCGGGCACGATCAAGGAGCGCGTGCTCGGGGACTCGGGGCAGGAGATGGAGATCAAGGACGCGAGCGGGCGGTATCGGCATGCGCGGCGGGCGCCTGTGGATGAGACGACGCTACAGCCGATGCGGAGGGTGAGCAAGGCGGGGCTGGAGAGTTCGGCGTATGCGTGAGGGTGAGGGGCAGGGGCAGGGCGGAAAGGGAGGAAGAGGAGGGGAGTGTTTCGGCGGCTCGTTCTTTCGTTCTTCTTTTCTTGGTTTGAGACCTGCTGCATGTTGGGTGAGTTCCCCCGTATGCGTTGTCAGGTTCCGTGGGCGTGTGGCTGCATACCCATCCACGATGTAAATTATTTCAGGGCTTATTTTCGTCTTGCATTTATTATTTTCCAACATTCATGATCTTTTTTTGTTCATGCATGCCGCATGCATGGATGCAACCAACGCCGCATAACGAACAGCTTCGAAATTCTCGAATCATTCCCTTACCCTTTTGCAACCGTCATCCAGATTTTCCTCACACCATGCCTTGCTGTTTTCTCTCGTTTTATCATGTCCCATCTTCATCTTCCTTTCTAGTTTATGCCCGACATCAAGTGAAGGCCACTCTCCTGATTGTTGTTATTTCTTTTTTCATTCCGGTATTTCATCTAAAAATCACTTTGATTGATATCATTTTTCAATTCTCTCTCGAGCTTAATTTCTATTATCTTGTACATACGCTGTCGTACGCTTTCCACGACACGGAGGCCATACCCGTGTTGATATATCCAAATCATTCGGATACCCAAACTACGATCTCAATTAAAAGAAGAATTATTAATCATTGGGCAGTGTACTACTGGCACCAGATCGACTTCTCCTCGGAAAACAATGATATCATTAGCGTTCAACGTTCATGACTAAATCTCTAAACAGAGGTCCAAGCGTAAACATGTCACCAAAATAAAAACATTATATTAACCGATAGAGCTCTCTGTCTGGGAGTCGAACGCAGCTTTCTAAAGGCGAAAAAAAAACGTTCACTCAGTCTTCTCCACTCTCTGTCTGGGAGTCGAACCCAGCTTTCGCGCGCACCATAGCATGACAGGCGCGTGTACTAACCGATATACTAACAGAGAAGGTGAAAAGCCTTGTCGGGATAAACTTATGGATAGCCTGCATAATGTTTTTGTTCTCTTTTGAATATAACGGGACTACGAGAAATTCAAGGCGGTCATCGATTTTTGCTCTAGCCGAATAAGTGCTGAAGAAGATGATGAGTGTGTGGACGGAATCCATAGGGGCCTCCTTTGCCTTTGGGTGCGGTGATGAGCGTGGAAAATCCATTGCGCCAAGGTGTGACGTGACAGTAAGGCTAGTATTTTTGTCGATTGACGCCTAAGCTATTGGCCGCAACGATGTCAGTTGAAACGGCGCGGACGCGGACGCTGCACAGCAAGAGATCTTTTGGAAAATACCCCAAGGCCGTCGATTCGCCGGCGTACGACGCGTGAGTAGCGTGACTGTCTGTGCGCGCTGGTGTTTATCGATGTGCAGATCCGAGGAGGATAACGACCCGCTGACGGACGATGGTGCCTCCGCCGCGTCTCCCCCGATCGCGATAACGCGGCAGGGAGTGTCGCCCGTGCGGCCCATTCAAAACAGACCGCCCCCATCCGCCCCAGGCACCATCTCGCCCAGCACCTCCTCTCAGACTCAGACGGCGTCGACTCCCCCACCTACGACGGCGACATAGAGTCCAGCACCACCGCCGGCGCAGACACGCCTCAGCACCCCACCCATCCCCGCCGACCACCCCCGTCCTCCCCCAAGCACACATGCCCAACTCACCCGACTCCACCCCGAGCGTCGAAGCCCCTGGGCTCAGCTTCACATCGCCCATCCGCCGCCACGCCAGCGATGCGCGCGATGAACCACGGCTCGCTGCTTCCTGTTTTCATCTCGCCGCCCGTGAACACGGCGGCGACCCCCTGCTCGTCACCGAAGAGCCTGCGGTGGCGCAGGCGTCGCGGGCAGCGTTCAACCCCGCGGCCCTGACCCCGGAGGACATACAAACGTTCGTCGGCAAAGCTATCGAAGGCGAGTCCTGGCGCAAATACCAGATCAACCCCCCGCCCACAGATCGTCCTGTGCGTGTATATGCCGATGGTGCGTCTCTCCTCCCTGCTCCCTGCGATTCCTCTCCCCTTTCCTGATCTTCGTACTCTTGCCCTTGCCTCTATTTTTTTGTGCCCCCCGTCACTACGGCACAATCGCCAATCACCTGACAGGCGTATATGACCTCTTCCATTTCGGGTACGCGTCTTTTGCGTCTGCTCCTCCTTCATTCCTCATTCTGAACAGCGGCTGCTCCACAATAGACACGCGCTGCAACTGCGCCAGGCCAAGCTATCCTTCCCCTCTGTATACCTCCTTGTTGGCGTAAACTCCGATGAGCAGGTCTGGTCGCACAAGGCGCGCACGGTCATGATCCATGCCGAGCGGTGCGTCGCACCCTTTTTTCTTCTTATTAAAATATGCGCGAAAATTGACATGCGATCGCAGGTTAGAGGCCGTGCGGCACTGTAGATGGGTCGACGAGGTCGTCGACGAAGCGCCGTGGGTCATCGACGAGGCGTTCCTCCGGAAGTACGAGATCGACTACGTCGCGCACGACGAAGACGCGTACGCCAGCGCGGGCCACGACGACGTGTACAGCTACGTCAAGAGCCAAGGTGCGTATCCCCGTGTCCCCTCCCCTCGGGCGTCGAACGCACGCAACTCACTCGCCCACCCCTCCCATTTATCCCACAGGCAAATTCATCCCCACGCGGCGCACGCCGGGCGTGTCGACGTCCGAGCTGCTCGAGCGCATCGTGTCGGGGTACCGCAACCGCGACTTTGACGAGAAGCTGACGAAGATGGGGCATGCGGAGCTGCGCGCGGAGGGGAGCGACTATGATGGCCAGAGCCGCCGCGCGAGCAGGAGTGGAAGCCCCACGCGGTCGGGCGCCAGTCCCCCGCTCGCGAGCCCTGGCAGGCTGAGTCCGATTGCTGGCTGAGAGGGGATGAGGATTGGAGGATAGAAACCGTAGATTCAGCGCGTGGAAGGTGAAGAGGGAGGGCGAAAGGACGAAACTGGACGGACGCGAGGCAGGGGGAGGAGACGCGAGAGAGACGAGATGGTATCGAGAACTAAATAAACCTGGAATCTGAGATCGGATGTGCCGAGTCAGTGTAATGCTATTTTCCTTTGAATCTTTCTTTTGCTTGGATATCGGTTGACCTTTGGATTTCTTGAGCCTGACTTTTGCCGTTTCCCTTCCATGTGTTGATGATCACATACAATAGGATCCTCCTTATTCTTTTTTCCTCTTTATTAATTAGATCTTTTAGATTGGGTTGGCCTTTATACACATACATCCGTGCCTTCGTTTTTTTAAAGACGGTGCTGTTTTCTGCGTGCTTTTTCCGAAGTGTATTGATAGTGTAGTGACATAGGCAGCTGAGGAGGGGCAAATTTGGAATGCGCCTTTTGAGATCAGATGATCGTTTCCTTACATCTCTTTGTTAGTATATCGGTTAGTACACGCCCCTGTCATTCAACGATTTGGTGCGGGCGAAAGCTGGGTTCGACTCCCAGACAGAGAGTTTAGTTGGAGTTGTTCTTACTTTTTTGGAAACGTCCTTGAATGTCCTCCTTTTTTTTTGGGACGCGTCCTGATTGCTCAGTGCTAATTTTAGTTCGAAATCGTCCCCGAAATCCCATGGCTTGTTCTGAACTCATCTGAGTCCACAACGTGCAGACAACGTGCAGCTGTAGCAGGTTCACAGCGTTGGGATCGACCCCCGCTATGTGATTTCTCTCCTAAACATTGGCCGCAGTAGGTGCGTGACCCATGGCATGTTGATTACCACCTCTTCTCCATCATATTATACAAGACAGCAATATCTCAGGTATCGTTCAATCTTCTGTCGATTCGGACTTGCAGACTCTGACTACAGCGCGCTCAGCTCAGTTCTGCTGCCAGCTTGAGATCAACTTCGAGGCCAAGACGCATGCCCTACAAGATTTACGTCTGTATCTAGACACAATCACCACTTTGCAAGACATCAACGTGTATCATATTGGACGTCCTTTCCTTCCACTCGATCTTGTGTTCTATCAGGACGCTTTACATGGGTGGGATAGTCTCAAAGATACGCTTCGTACTGCAGCTCATAAACTCAAGCCTTGACGACTATGACGCGCTCAGAAAGCGGATTGAAGCTCACCTGGCATCCCCAAACTCCCCGGGACCCGTTCCTACCCAAGCGAGCGATTGTTCCTCGAGTAGTTCGACCCCTCCTTACTGGACAGTCCCAGCTTCGCCTATCGCGCGTGAGGGACAGACTACGGCGCTGCCAGTCGACGAAGTGGACTTGTGATCATCGGGAGTGGGATTACCGGGACAGCGATTGCGAAGGCCTTACTCGAGTACTCCAAAGAACGCAGTGCTGACGCAGAGGAGCGCGGGGAGAACAGGAGAGACAAGGGAATTAGAGTTGTGATGCTTGAAGCTAGGGATGCTTGTTCAGGGTCTACTGGGAGGTGCGTGCCTGCTCAATTGACTGCAGAATTGGTGTCTTATCTCTATCCGTAAGAAATGGTGGTCATATTGGCCGCTTGTGTACAATGAATATGGGGAGCTCAAATCGGCGCATGGCCCCCCGCGGCTGAGGAAATCCTGCGTTAGGCTCGCACATATCTCCAGTCTCATATCTACTGCACAGGCGGAGGGTCTACTGTCGGCTTCACAAGCACGGGAGGTTGAGAGCTTCGACGTATACGGACATCCCGAAAAATTCGCACAGGCAAAGAATGAACTGCATGAATTCTTGGAAGAGGCGCCGGCTGATCTTACGAACGGTTTTGGGGTAGTGGAAGATCAACAAGGGTTAGAGGTATGTGTTCAATTCTTCGGAAGACTGATATGTGACAAACTTTGGGGTTTTGTAGAGGCTGCAGTTAGTATCGTCAATTGTAGGATGCATCAGTAGGCGGGGTGGGGCGATACATCCATACAGATTCGTGACTGGAATCTTGTCAAAGCTTCTCAGCAGATATCCAAAGTGAGTATTCCATTGGAAAATGCTCTATAATTTAACATGGGAGGTCACCAGCTTTCAACTATTCACCCACACGCCATGCACCACGATTACCTCCACTTCTACTGGATACGTGGTGCATACGCCGCGAGGAGAAGTCCGGACTGCACATGTTATCCATGCCACCAACGCCTGGTCCTCTCATCTATTACCAGGGATGCGGGGTAAAATAATACCGACCCGTACTAGCATGACCGCGCAGCGTCCAGGAAAAGGACTGTCGAAATCATGGGCTGGTAACCGCGCGTTTGTATTTTACCCGATCGAGAACACCTCCGTATTCGAATACCTAACCCAGCTCCTGCCCGCCCCAATACCTGACGACGCAGGAACGGAGGCCACGCTCCCTACAGCGGGCGAGTTCATGTTTGGCGGGCGGATGCAGCCTCATTCACCTATAATATTGGCATTGCGGATGATCGCGGCTCCATTTTCGAGAATGAAGCGCATCTCGGTGGTGCGCTGGAGCGGTTCTTTGCTGCGCACTGGGGAGCAGAAGCTGAGGATGAGGACAAGGACAACAACTCACCTAGTGATCAGACTAGCGATGGACGAACCGGAGATTTATATGAAGAGCGTGAGCCAAAATGGGGAAAGGGCCGTGTACGCGCAGCCTGGTCGGGCCTCCTGGGTATGTCGGCGGACCTCCAGCCGTGGGTTGGACGTGTTCCGTACGCTGCTTCTAGAAGGAAGGAGCCTGCAGCAGCAACGGTGGACCGCGGACTTGCTCCGCCGGGCGAGTGGATATGCGCAGGCTACACGGGTGAGGGGATGGTACATGCGTGGCTGAGTGGGAAGGCACTGGCACGCATGGTGTTGGACCTTCCTGAGAAGTTGGGTCGAAGTGAAGAGGCTCTGCGGCTGCCACAGCCGTTCTTGATTACGGCGAAAAGGTTGAGAGAGGCGAGGTACGAGGATACCATCGCCGGGTGGTAGTCAGCTATCTTTCGTTAAAATTTATTTTCATTGTATCATATATGTATGTAGTAAAAATATAAAGCTGTAATACTTCAAAACGGCGACAAATAGATAGTGCGATCATCAAGGAGATCCAACTCTTTGGCGCTTGCGAGAAAGATGGAAGAGACGTGAAAATCCTCGGTTTAGAGGTTTGATGGATAACGGAGAAGATGACTGAGAATGAAGGTGGCGTTGTAGTTGTAGCATATAGTATTGGCAGTTGGAGAGAGTCAAGGGCGAAATTTGGGACAATCCGTCTCCGCAGTTTCCATCGGGCTCGTGCTAGGGGTTTGTCTTCTCCGATGAGTGCCAGTTAAAAAGAGCAAACACTTGTGGATCGCCTGGGCGCTTAATTTGGAAATAGGTATCAAATTACTATGACTACCAGTCATCTACCGCCAAAGCCTCGTTCGCATTTTCAGGTCATATAGTCCCTCATGTCCTGCTTGTGAATGTGTTAGGTAGTGTAAAGGCATTTATTGAAGTCAACAGAAATAACGACAAGATCAAGCTTTTTTGTTTCTGCGAAAGATATGGAACAAACGGGAAAAGCCTCGCCGTTTGGGAGTTGGCTGCACAGGACATGATTTGGATGGCGAAAATTGGGAAATGTTTGAAGGGTTGGGTTGCAAATACAATGGAGGCGAAGTCACGGATATAGAAGGTAGTGGTGGAGCGTCCATGGTGAGAGGCGAATAATATTCAGTCGTCGTATAATTTGGTTGCATTGCCGTCGGAGATTGGGTTTTTCTTCGTAAATAATCGTCGCTATCAGAAAACGAGCGAAGTTCAGGACCAGGAACCGACGAAGGATATGCATAGGGGAATTCGCCGGCATGGCTTGACCAGGACGACCTCGACCGAGCACTGCTTGCACTTCCATAACTCGACGATGATGAAGTTGATTTCGCGCGTTTTATTTTTCGTGCTTTTTTATCATGTGTGAGTGTTGTGTTTGGAGATAATAAGACTATGGAAGAATCTCTTTTGTCCGCCACTTTTGGAGGTGCTTGTCCCGAAGCTAGATCCCCAGTGTGTAGCGGAGGGATTTCCTCCAATGAAGCAGCCGACGTCCATGGCGAGCTCAAACTAGAACTTCTTGAATCTCTCTCCCCTGCATCGGCTTCTGAGGACTCTTCCAGTAACACTCTGAGACCATTCCTTTTACTCGACATCGACTTTCGGCCAACTTGTCGTAACTGACTTGGTGCCATGTTGAAGTTTTCCAGCTTTTCACACAGATCTTTGACCTGAGCGTTGCGGGCGTGGAAAACATTGACAGGCTTGGCAATGAGGTCCTTCCAACTTTCTAGACCCATGGTATCATAGCAGCTCTTTATTTCTCTATATTCTGCTTCTGTGAAGATGTCGGAGACGTCGTTGTATTGAAAGCCTTTCGAAAACCCATACACGTCTTGCGGCGAGTCGATATTCTCCCCGCCAGAACTCGCCCGTTGTGGTTTCTCTAGGGCAGCAGACGAACTTGTGCTGAGATCCTGAGTAGAGGACAGTTGCTTGGAGGTACCGACGTAGAAACTTGGGGACAAAAACGGCCACGACATGTCAGCGAATCAGAGCAAGCGGGGAGGAAGAGGATGCTTCATGTTCAAAGCTTAGACACTAGAAAAAAACGGTTTAGATCTTTTATCTGTACTTTTTATGTGAACTTTCAACCAAAACTGAACTCGAAGGGAGACTTCAGATAATTTACTGCACGTGAGTGGCTCGGTGTATGCCATCGGCATTCCTCGGCATCCTCAGTGCCCGCCCCACTCGTGCCACTCAAATTCGTGTGCCGCTGCACATATTTAGGGTTCGTTTTAGGGCTTTGGGTTTAGGGCTTAGGGCTTTAGGGCTTAGGGCTTAGGGATTAGGGCCTTAGGGCTTTGGTATATCTATGAAAATGCTGGGGAGGGAGTCCTGAAGCTCTCATTTAGGTTTAGGTTAGGTTTAGGCCATGGTTATATAATGAAACTCAGCACCGACGGCCGGAATGCCGTGGACGTCGAAGAGGGACAATTTATCACATGACTACAATATAAATTATCTGAACTCGGCGTGGTAACTTTGAGAAGTGCAGATTCGAGTTCACCTTTTCGAGTACAGATAAAAAGCTGAACTAATTTTTTCTAGTGTCGAAGCTCTCTTCATGTTGGCTGAATATTATATAGAGTTGAAACTCTGTGGCAATGCACATTACATGCACAGCCATTTCGAAGTATTTTGCCACAGTTCCACGAACAGGTATGTGCGTGCATTCTTGGCACTCTTCTCCGTAAGCGATGTAATGCGTATACCAGGAAAGCGGGTCACCAGGAAAGCGATGGACATGTCACTTCGAATTAAATACGAACTACCTCGCATCTCCTCGCATTGAGTTATACAGCAATGTTCCCTCGATATATTGAAGTGGCATCCGGTTCTCATTCTCATGCTTATCCGAATCCATCTTTACAAGGGAAAAAGAGAGAAACGCCGGCTACTAATGCAGGCATACTATGCGCACGGACGAACAGATTACGGGTAGGGGAGACGAGGTTCTA